CAGCGGACTTTTCACGTAAGGGAACGTGTCAGAAAGTGAACAATATAAATAAATTTTATAATCTTGATTAATTGTACTCGATAATCACATTGCGTTTTTATTTGTATTAACACTACTCTATATTGTACATATGTACACGTGCACGTGGTGTTGAAGGGGGGGGTCTCCCCTAACTTTTCCTAAAATTATTATTTGCCCCCTTTCCAGAGAGATTGTTTAATTCCAGTTGCACCATTTTCCCAACAACAAATTAAATAGAAAGCAGAAATCTCCAAGAACTAAGAAAAATGTAAAGGACTTGCATCTTGATAAAGATACATGTACCTTAATGAGCGCAAGATCTTTAAATAAGAAACAATCTGCCAAAGTAAGTTATGGCGACCTTTAAAAAATACATGTATATTATATGATAAATTTTGTTTAAGGAATTGTTTGTGGACATACAACATTTAATTTAAAGAAAAAAGTACCTTCTCGGGAAATAAATAACTTTGGATAATAACATATTATCAGTGTCTTGAACGTGAATAACATCACATACAGCTTATTTCATACATGTACTCCACATATCAGGCGCGGATAGATATTTCAAGAGGGGGGGGGGGGAGGGAGGAAACCAAAAGCACTGGGCTTTGAAATATAACTACTGATTTTAATTCATAAACATTCTACCCCTAAAAAAATAAAAACTGAACGATTACATTCTCATTGGGAAAGACGGGCAAAGTGTGATGTAAATTAGTCAGGATACCTGCTGAGTCCACCTGCTTGAGGTTTCCACTACCTTTGGACCTCAAAATCAATAGGTTTCTTCTTTAGGCCATAGGGAGTTTTTGTAAAATTTCATTGCAAAAGCTCTAAGGCTTCTAGAGATATCGCGCTGAAACGAAAGTGTTACAGACATACAGACGGACGGACAGACAGACCGAAATTAATATCCCTAACTTTCCGTGAAAGCGGGGGACAAAAATTCTATATGTCATGCGTAATTTTAAAACAATTTTTAGATGCGAATGCTCGTAACATCGCAGAATGCAAGAGTAGTATGTGTCTATTAGGCGGATGTTGCTAAAACGCGGAACGGAGAATGGAAAGAAGATACAAAAAATGAATTTTTTAATATATCTCAAAACAAACAAGTTAATTCTTTTGGAGCAGCTTGAGCTACAGATTTTCATTGAGTAATTAAGAAGGGGGTTTGACATGCCTCTCTAGGCAATTGCAAATTCGTTGGTTTCGGCGATATTACATGAATGCATGAACAGTTGAGTTACACGATTTTTAAATAAAAATTTTTGCACTAAAAAGAATCTTTCATTATCATTTTTTTCTTACTTTTTAGGTGAGGGAAGGGAGAAATATAATCAACAATCTATCAGTGTCCACAATAGACTGTAAAAACTCTCCAATCTTTTCAACATTTTTTGAATATGTACAGTTCAGCACTTTTGTACAAAAATGTGCATTTTGTAAGTGAACATGGCAATTCAAATATATGTACTTTTCACAAATTTAAAGGAGCCATATCTTCCTTGCTGAGAAAACGGATCAAGTTAACAGTTAACAATTTAAAAGAAAATCATATGTTTTTATATCAGTTAACACGATTTTAATTTTAAAAAAACTGTATTCTTTTTACAAGTGCAAACACACCAGGTATGTTTGAAATGTTTTATAAGAAATATGCAAAAAGAAGAAAATAATGTACAAAATATATGGCAATATATTTGTCTTGGGGTTTCGAGATAAACGAAACAAAAGACCCATGGGCCACATCGCTCACCCGAGCACACTGGCTAGGAAGAAGCAGAAAGCAGTTCAGTATTGAAAAGTTTTAAGGGGGAACTTAACTTTACACTACCTCAGGATGCTTCTGTATCAATATAATTACTAATCATGGCTTTGCTGTTCTTAAACAGAAGAATTTTAAAGATATTTCGAGTTGACGTATGTCAGCCTCGTAAGCTGCTGACCAGCTTCAATGCCCCCCCCCCCCCCGATCACTACCATTTCCAATTTCTTATTTATCTTCACTCTTCGGGACAATTCACTACTCTTGATGTTAACACTTGATACCTTAGAAAGCAAGGATCAAATCAGAGATAGGTTGCTAATATGTAAACAACAGCACAAGTTTGCAAGATTAATTGGAAATATTAAAACGTTAATTTTTATCAATTCACTAAGAAATATAGTCCTCTGTTTAAACATGCATTGAAATCAGAATTTCGGTTACAAAACAAGATCGAAAATGTATTTAATGTGACTTTCAACCAATAAGTAGTGTTTTCATGGATTTATAAATACTAAATACAAGTTCCTGAGTGGGAATAACAAATGAAGTATCCCTACGCTCCGAGCGATTTTAGCGAGGATAAGTTGTAAACAAATGGCTAGGACAGAGATCGTGACCAACATGTATGTGTATTGACCCTCGATCGCAGGCAAGGGAGAGAACAGAATCGTGGAACAAAACCATCTGAAAGAATTGCTTACTGTGAAATATGCAGTTAAATGAATTCGGGGATCAACATTGGGGCGACGGAGGCGCAATAGTCGCTATTGACCTCAAAAATTTACCGTAAATTATCACAAAAGCGAAGTTTACCATTTTTACCCTCTCTGTTTTGTAAATCATTATAAAAAATCTGTAAAGAACACGTGATAATATTGTCACTATTTTATAAAATTAATCTGTTCGGTGTTATCACTGTTGAAATAGGTGGATAACAGCAGGGCGCTTGCACCTATTTTGCTGCTAATGACCACTTTATCGAGTACTCGATCGGAACTCCTCTAGAATTTACGCCTCTGTATATTAAAAAGTACATTGTTATAAGTTATACACAAAACGACGCAAAACAGCTGGACCTCTGTCGATGTCATACATGTACCAAAGATGCTGGTAATGAATTTCGACTATTTTTATTGTCAAAAGATTAATTCATAATGTGAATACAGACATATATTTTAGAGGTATAAACTGTCTTTGGCGATCAAACATGTGAAAAACAAGGCTTATTGCATGATAAAGTCGCTCAGTCGGCATGCAGTAGTAGATCTACTAGTTTTCGTAATATAGTAATTAATTGCGAGCGCAGCGAGCTCTAACGACAACGCCTGGGCGAAGAGAAAATTCGGACTTAAACATTGATCCAAACGAATTTCTTTCCGCAGTAACTTTGGGACCCACAATGCATCGCTTGTTTAAGCTACGTTCTTGCGAGAATAACAACAACAGTTTAACAAAAAAATAAACTCGCCTTGATTTAATGGATATATTGCAGATAAATAGTAAATAAAACGTTCTTCATTAAAGTCAACAACTCACGCATCCACGCTCCGCCCACCGATGGCAACGAAAGTCACGTGGTTGCAGACTCCGACAAACTAACGTAAACAACATGGATGCGAGTTACAGAAATCGCACGGAAATACTTTTCAATCGGACTGTTTGCTCATGAATTTATACAGAAACGTTTGTTAAAATGTAAGATATGTTTCAGAGAGATTTTATTCACAAAATTTTAGTAAGTAGAAGTATAATTTTAACCTTTACCGATCTAGATCGGTACTGCATCCGACTTGAAGGTCAGTTCAACTGTCTCCGAAATAGGCCTATTTACTGTTCTGATACGTATTGCATAGTAGATCAGGAAACGTTATGAATTTTCAATGTTTACAATAAAATTGACAATATTTGTTTGTTGTTTAGTTAGCATTAAAACCTCAACCGCTGAGAGACACCCCCCCCCCCCAATATATTCCATGTATCTTCATCGTTACTGACTATATCTAATCAAGAAAGTGATATGCAGAGTATACGTGTTCCTCGATTTTGAAAGGTTGTTTTTGCTAGCGCTGATCCGGAAGGGATTCAGGACTCTCCTACCCCTTGAAACTGTCAGAACTGTCATATTATTTGGACCACATTCCCCTGTTTGGATATTATTTTTTGTCTAAGAATTCTGAAATATGTAGCAACTCATTCATCACCACCCCTCTCTCCCAGATCCCCCAATCGTTTTGAATTGGACAAACTAATTATAGTTTATCATTATATTTTTATTTCTTTAATTTTTTGTGCTCTCTGCACAACACACTTAAGAGTTCTGATTCTGTGGTATTTTTATGCAATTCGAACATTCTGTCCCTAGATCTAAAAATAAAAGAATTTGAAAACTACAATTTGTAATAAATTTCTTAATATTTTAATAGGCCAAGATAAATTAATTGAATACTTTATGATTCTTCAACTGGATGTTTTTTTCAAATGTTATAAAGTGAACAATAGAAATTTTTGTCAATATTATCTTTTATTAACCATTTTTCCTGGGGGTAAATGCAAGGTACCCTTGTTGAAAATGCATTTGGCATGCTCAAAATTTACACCTTCATACAATTTCTCTCAATGTCAAAAAAAAAAAAAAAAACCTGCTTAAGTTTATAAAGGGTCCTTAAAACTATAAATGGGATAAAAACTTGAGTTAAAAATTCAGATATTATTTCACATAAATTTGAAGAGAAAAAATCCTCCTGTGTTTGTACATTAGTACAAAATAAATTTTCAAGATTTTAGTCATGTTTAAAATAAACATAAAGATATTCATTTTAAATCCAATGCAGGCCCCAGTCTGTTCTCAGTTTATGGTTCTAGGCATGGACTTTGATATATATTTCAGAAATCCTTAGAAGTTTTAGGGTATCATAAGTAGAAATTACAATGTAAAAGACTGTTTAATGATCAAAACAGTTAGTGTACTTCACTAGTGACACACAAACTTAAGGGGAGAAGGAAAATGTTCACATATTGTTGTACAAATAAATTGCATTCAACAGTTCAGATTGCTAGGTTTGAAGAACAAACATAAGTCTTCCTCAGCATTGCATACATGTATTCCAAGAGAAATCAGAAATCAATTCTGTATTGATATCGTAGATGTCAATCCAAAGATACCCATAAAAAGATACAAGATGTTCAAAAGAAAATGAAGACAAGGTTCAGGTATACAGAAAGTTTAATGATATTGTACATTTCATATATAAGTAATAATAAAATCGTTCATGTCAAATTCAAAAAAAAGTATTAGTTTTCTTCTATCAAATTTCCCTAGGCAGTGATATACATTTATAGGGTTAGATGTTTGAATATTTAATTTTTATCAGTTGTTTCTCATTGTATGATCACATCACTGTATAAATAATTTACTTATATCAGTATGACATATATTTTTGGGAATTTCATCTACATGTTTGACAGTGCTACACATTTCATGTTATTCGTGTTATTCATCACCTTTATGAACTATACACTTGTTTATGCTATTCAGCACATTGTGGATACCATGAGATTACATAAACAAACATGTATTATGCTAATGGAGTTCATTAGATAAGTGAAAAGTCTGTTTCTCCTGAAATTAGTGAAGTCAATGAAAGTCAATCACTCATCTTTAAACATAACATATGTGTAACATGCATAAGGTCAACACATGCACATAGTCAATCACTGACACACCAGACATTGATGCTACACATTTATTCCCAAATTGTGCCTTAGCCTAATCAGTGTTGATATACAATTATGGACTATTTACACAAAATATACCTAAAGTGACCGAGACAATTCTTTTGTCATTTGTATTGCCCCTTTTTTCTACTTACAGTTGCATTGTTTTGATGTCAAAAAATCTAATAAATTTTCAATAATGTTTCATGTTGGTATAAATAATACATACATCATTGACATATACATTTTTTTTTTCTGTTTTCTTCACAACAAGTGGGCCTTGTTTTTCTCCTGCTGCTACGTGGAGTTGTAGATGATTACTTTGTCTGTTCTATAGGTTCTTTCTGTTTTTTGTTGTAGTTCTAAAACATGGTAAAATTAATCTAAAGATTCCTTAAAATGAAAAATAAAATTCTAAAGATCTATGAGTATAACACAAATAACTTAAAGTAAAATATAACAATATCTAAAATGTGCTTTCTGATTAAATTAGAAAGAGATTTTAGAAGTATTGAATTTGATATACTTCAAATATTACTTCAAGTATTGATTTACTTGGTATTTAACATTGATGTCAAGAATAAGTGGCTAAAGAGATTTTGATGCATTGTGGAAACAGTTTCTTTTCTTTTGCAAGTCCCTTTCTCCATGATCATTTGTACATTACATAACTAACTGGAAAACTAGGGTGTGGTGATGCTCCTTTTGTATATACATACATGTAGCCTGTTGACAATTCATTTGGACAGTCTGTTATGACACACGGGTGAAGATTGTTTTCTGTTTCCTTGTGTGCTCCATCATTGATCCTGAATACATGCAATATTTTTTTTTTATAAATAATGCATTTGACTTGGAATTTTTTAAATGCTTTTAAAATTTTGATCTCATAAACAAATTTGTTGTTAACTATCCTCAGCATTTTCACCATGACTAAATATCAATCGATAAGGTATAGTACAGAAATGACTATTCATCTGTGATTTTACTATGTCGAGTTTTCATGGCATAATGATATCTTCACTTGAATAAAAACATACTGGCTTTGTAACTAAGTTTCTTCATAACAGATACTTTTATCAACATAATATCAGTAAACTTACCACTCGTCTCGATAATTCCAAAGAAGCCTTTCTTGATGACTGTGACCCATCTGGGGGAACTGGGCCTTGCTGTATACAGTCAGTATTTCATGGCCCATAAATGCTACAATTAATTTTGATTCCTAAAGCTATATACAATCACAAAATGTTTCAAAGATAAAGCATTGTAAAATTACTCACAAAAATGTTTGCAGCGTTCTCATTTATTATCGAGAATTATATTCAGTTCACCGAGATTTATAGCTTTGAACGGTTGAGTCATCGTATGAGCACGTTTGTAAATCACTATTGTACGTCATATAACATAATCTAAACATTGCTCTCTTAAATTGCCAATTACATTATCACTAACTTTGACATTAATATACCCGAATATCTTATTTTTTAACAGAAAGTTGTGTTTCGGTCTTCCATGACATGCCTTTATCAGCTGTTTATGCAACGTAAACACTTGCTTTTCCGTGTTTTGGACTTAGAAAATGAATAAATCTTACCTTGTGTATTCTTTCCGGGTACCTCGTATCATTATTACATCTATCCCATGCATAGGACCTCACAATTTTTCGTTGCACAGCGGATATGTTGCATTAAACGATGTCATCTCGCACCTCCGACATCTGTGTGTTGTCGGAGGTAATGGCGGACAAAGTTTCCGCGATTCTGATTGGCTGTGCGGAGATGGCAACTGCGTCACCCGTGACGACGTGGAAGCGTGAATGTTCCGGCTTCGGTTTGGTAATGCAACCTAAATACGACGTCATATGACGTCAGAGTCTAGACGTGAAATGTCACGTGCAGTTTGACGATCGAGCCCGATCTAAATTAAACCTAAATAAATATCTGCGCTCGCCCTAACGGTCGCACCGTCAACATATTATATTATTCTTTGTTTTCATTTAATAATAAATACATTTAAAAAAAAAGAATAATAAGGAATTTGGAAATGAACTTTAATCGATTGTATGTTGTTTTACGTCTCATTCGAGAATTTTTCACTCATATAGAGACGTCACCATATACCGGTGAAGGGCTTCAAATTTAGACCTTTACTCGGCACTCAGGGCTATTGAGCAGTGAGGGATCTTTATACTGCCAACGCCTGCCGCGTGACACGGGGCCTCGGTTTTCAAGGTCTCATCCGAAGGAACCGGAAATGAACTTTGAAGAGAATGTAACAAATTTGCTACTTTGACAAGGTTCTGAAAATATGGAGAGAGGAGAAAAGAAAAATGTTTTAATCTTGAGTCTAAATATTGTAAATAAACAAGAAATGAAATAACTTTGATAAATGTAAGTCTATCAGTTGAAAACTTAAGATTGACAATGTACGTATAATTTTGTTTTCCAGGTAGAAATCTATATATCCCTTGCAATTGGAAAATATCAAATAATTATTTTTTTAAATAAGCCTTTTTGTCTCTTTAAGTATTCTTAGGATATAAATTTATTTAAGGTATATACATTAACGTGTATTTATTTATTTTTTTTTTTTAAAGTTTAATAATGATCAATGTGCACGAAGAAGTCTCCGTAGAATTTTTTAAAATTTCCTGAGGTCTTTATCTGAGGTGATGTCTCCCTAAGTTTGGAATCTAGGTTAGTAGGTTGGTCCCTGAGTTTACAAATTTGTTTTTCTGTATTTACCAGCTTAAGAAATTTGTTAATCTTTTTTTTGAAAATGCATGTATATTAATCTTTAGTCGCGGATGGGCTTGTAGCGGAAGCATTTATTTCCATAAAGGTGTTATAGGTGAAAACTTCCTAAAAGAGGATTAACAGTAATTAAAACAGAATGCTTCGTTTCAAATGTAGTCAGTGGCATTTCCATAATTTTTAAAATTGTTATTACATTCTTTTTGTCCCCTCGTTACATTTATGCAAAGTATTTTGATAGTTGTGTCCTTAATAACAGCTTTAGACTTTGAATTGCTGGACTAAATTCATTACTAAATTCATGGATCGCTTAATCCACTGTCTATTTGATAAGTCAGATTTTAGAATGCGGTATAATTGCCTTTCCTTTAATATGATATTTTCCTATTCCTTTACGACTGCTTCGGACAGGCGTTAACTTCCGGCCTTATAAAGTGATGATTGAAGCGGTTATGATGTACTTTGATTTGGGGTAATTTAAAGTGAAAGAATTAAAATCAGTTTGGTAATTCAATTTTTGCTTTAAAAAATACTATGGAAAAGAATGGTTTGAATTCCATTTTTGCACTTCATTGGTATTACACTTTTTTTACAAGCACAATCAATGTATTTGGAGAAAATGACATTGGAAATAGTTTCAAGCAAATGCACAAAAGGGCTATTTACAATTGTCGTGGGATTGATTTGATTTTGAAAGCATATAGATGTAGCTAAGCAATATTTTAGGAAAAAGGGCTTGTTACATTTTGATATGATTGTCTTGAAATACGGAGAATTAGCTCTAAAATTTTATTCATTTTTGTGCTCAGAAAGAATGCACAGAACTTTAGTTATCTGAACATCATTTTCGACTAGTGTGCTACAGATCGAAGATATATTGAGTCTACAATACGTCATATGATTAAATTAAATAAATTATACCAATTTAGTTGAAGAAAAAAAGTCTAAATGGGCTTGCTTTTGGTAAAAAAAAAAATCAAAGATGTTTTTTAATTGTATTAAATGCTAGTTGTATCAGTGATTAATGTGAAATTTCAAAGACATATGACACATGGTCCCCGCCCCCCCCCCCCCCTCCTTTTTTTTTTTTTTTTTTTTTTTACATTCATATGGTAAAGATTCTTTTGTTAGTTTTTTCGCATTTGTTTAAAATTAACTAGTCCAGTTTTTTGTTTGTTTGTTTGTTTGTTTGTTTGTTTTTTTTTTTAGATCAAATAAGTTATAAAATGCATTTGTCGTATTACTCACTTTTTGTTTTCCAATGGTTTTCACTGGGGATTCTCTTGATGTAATTAGGGTTTTGTATATGCTAGTATACTTGAGGATAAATTTTAAATTTTACTGGAAGACGTCACCTCGATTCAGTACTTTGATTTTCCTACGTATTCCTATGTAAAAGTCTGATTACTCATTAAGGCCCCACCCTACCCACCGTAAATTTGAACAAATTTGAATATACACTACCTGAGGATGCTTCTATCATAATACTGCTAATCATGGCTTTGTTCTTCAGAAAAAGATTTTTTAGGATGAATCCTATATATTCTTATGCAAAACTTTGACCCTCTGTTGTGCCCCCAACCCCTGAGGGGTCATTACTTGAACAAACTTCATTCTACAATACCTAAGGTTGCTTCTGTGTAAATATTACAAATAATGGCTTAGTTGTTGTTGAGAAGAAGATTTCAAAGATATTTCCTATGTAATGGTATGATCTTGTTCTTACAAGGGATATATAGGTTTTCATTTTACTTTGTCTGAGTTAATGATTGGAATAATTATTAAGACAGCTCTTTCTGAGGGTATATCACACAGTACTTAAATTTTCTCTTATCTAGAGATGGGGACTGGGTAAAGTACTACTTACACCGTCTTTCTCCCCTAGGTTCCCATTGATAGACAAGAACCAGTTTTCTCAATCTTCTTCAGATTTACTACACACAGAGTTTAACATCAATTCCCTAGGATACTTCCAACTGGTGTTTTTATTTTGCTCTTACCCTTAAAGTTTTCCATCCTCTATCCTTAAATGTCCATCACATAAATAATACTCTGATATCAATTCAAAGCATTTTACAGTAGAAAAAGATTAACCAAGAGAAAGTTTCAAAAATGTAATTAACTAAACAGTAAGTACTTAACAGATTGCATTGAAGTCTATGGAGCAATTTTTTTTAAATAAAAACCCAAATAATAAGAATATCAATAAATGTTGTAGTAGAAAATGCACTAAAAAACATTAGAAATAGAATGACAATTGAAAACGATTTTTTTAAACAGATAAGTTTCTTACAATTGATTTTTTTTATTAATAAAAAAAAACAGATGGAGATAACTCTTACCAAAATTCAAGGTCATAGTACAAATATCATTTCTGCTTGAACTTTCAGTAAGGCGTGATATAATTAGCGTCTCTTAAATAGTGACCTAGATTCTCATTGGTTTCCAGATTAGCTCATCAATACTTAAATTTACACAGCTTTTCATTCACGGGTGAAATACACGTGAAATAAAAATGGTTCAGACGTCAACGAGTGACGCAAGGAACAAATTACATCGTTTCTTACAGTAAGGAGGTGTGGCCATTGTCATCTCATTGTTTGTTAACAACAATCTAAAGTTGGTAATGTTATGAATTTCTTAACTAATGAGAATCTAGGTCACCATTTGAGAGACGCTAATTATGTATCGTCGAGATTGTCACGCCCTATTGAAAGTTCAAGCAGAAATGATATTTGTACTAAATTAGGACACATCCCACTCTAACATGCAAATAGTAATAAAAGTGAATTATGTTTAAATATACTGAGTATTCAACATCTACCATCAGTTATGTATTCTTTTGCTATTAGGATGGAATGCTTTAACTTATTTGTTGCTGATTCATCATTCAACTTCTACAGCTACCTAACTTTCCCAAAACTTTGTCTTTTATACCCTTTGGCTAGTCCAATCCAAAGGTTGTCAGGTCATTCCATTATTTGAAGTCTTCAATGCGTTTTACTCAAATACACCTATATATTCCTATGTAAACTTTTACCCACTTTGTGGCCCCGCCCTACCCCAGGAGTCATGATTTGAACAAACTTGAACCTATACTACCTGAGAATACTTCTGTATTAATATGTCTAATAATGGCTTAGCTGTTCTTGAAAAGAAGATTTTTAAAGATATTTCTATATAATCCTTTCGTAAACTTTGACACCCCCCCCACCCCGTTGTGGCCCTCCGCCCTACCCCGGGGGTTAATGATATGAACAAATTTGAATCTAGAACATGTAATCAAGCTTTCACATAAGTTTCAACTTTTCTTGCCCAGTGGTTCTATAATGGATATTTTTTTTTTTTTTTTTTACATTTTCTCTTTTACAAGATAAGACAACATGCCAGAATCCCAGCTATCTATCATAAATATGTTGTGAACTTATCATTTTTTTTTTATATCTTTGAGAACAAATGGTGGCGGTAAAGGAAAAAATACCACGAGAATGTAAATTCTGCAACTGAATTGCCCTTTTATAAATATCTGCGTAAAAGATATGCATGAGTCATAGGTGATGCTTGTGGACACCACCACCCCCCCCCCCCTCCCCCGGAATATACAGGCCGGGTCAAGGATATTTTTATTTCTCTGCTTTAAAAAAAATCATTTTTCTAGAAAAAAATTAAAATGTTAAAATGTATTCCATATCTGAATAAGTGGCCAAAGGGCTTTAACGGTCATCTGAGTATAATACAACAATTTAGAGGTCCCATAGAGTATAAAATAAACTGATAGATGAAGCTTTGTTGTCCAAAAGCAAGAGAAATAGGATGATCAGGATCACTGAAATAATTAGTCTAGTATTCAGTAACAACTCATCAATTAAATTCTAATCTATCCCCAATTTAGCACTATCACCATGCAGACTATCAACAAACTATTAGTTCTTCTGTACTATTTTTCACCCCATATTGTGACCTCTCACATTGACCTCTCTTGGTCTTTGAAGAACATTTAATAAGTT